AACCCTGGCAGTAGTAGTAGTAGTAGTAGTAGTAGTAGTAGCAGTAGCAGTAGCAGTAGCAGTAGTAGTACTAGTAATTACTAGTACTAGTACTAGTACTAGTACTAGTACTAGTACTAGTACTAGTAGTACCAGGAGTAGGAGTAGGAGTAACAGTAGCAGTAGGAGCAGCAGCAGCAGCAGTAGCAGTAGCAGTAGCGGTAGCAGCAGTAGCAGTAGCAGTAGCAGTAGCGGTAGCAGCAGTAACAGTAGCAGTAGCAGTAGCAGTAGCAGTAGCAGTAGCAGTAGCAGTAGCAGTAGCAGTAGCAGTAGCAGTAGCAGTAGCAGTAGCAGTAGCAGTAGCGGTGGCAGTAGTACTAGTACTACTACTAGTACTGGTGCTGGTACTAGTACTCGTACTAGCACCAGTGCTACTGGGTATACCAGTAGTGGTATGGCAGCAGTAGTCGTCATCGTCTTACAAGTGCAGACATCGCCATGAGCTCCCTCCTGGCTCTTGCAAACCTCCGAGATGTTCTGGAAGTCCTGGGAGTGTCTTTAAGGACTAAGGGTCCCGGCTCAAAAAGTTTACTCTTCCACGGAGGGTGGAGCTGCTGGGGCAGCGCACGAGAGCACAGACCCCTCTGTCTATGAGGCCGTTTCTGCACCCGTTGTCCTTTGTTGAAAGCTGGTCATCCCCTGCCAGCATGACCGTGCGATCACCTCAGACATGCACAGTTTCGACTGCCGAAGACACACAAAGCCTCGGAATCTCAAAGCCATGACAACCAGGGCCTGGACCGACCTGAGGTCCTGAGATGCAGCCGGCCGCACCGAAAGCCTCGCGCAGCTCTCGCGTGTCGGTGTTCGAGTTCATGCTCTGAAGCGTTCAGTTCGGGATTTTGCGGGGACAGATGGAGGGGCAGGCGGGTACGAATTTGGGGTTCAAGGTTGGAGGAGTGGCACAGGCTCTGAACGCGGCAGCTCCAGCTAAGGTTCGAGAAGAGGAACATGATGGTACATGTCCACACATGACCAGAATTATGCATGCATGGGTTGGGATATGCCCGAAATCCTTACATACGAGTCATAAGATGCCACATGTCCGTCTTTATGCAAATTCTCGCGAGAACATGCACGGCATTACGTAGTGGACCTGGATCTGGTTTTCTATGCTCGTGCGAACCATCAACTTGTACACTGTCTCTGTGTGTGTGTACACTCGCGGTCAGCATGCTCCATCCTGTAGGACCGTGACCGTATGTGCATACACAGGTCTGGACGTTATGACATATCAGCACTAGCAAATGCGATGCAACTACATGCATCTTCCTTGGAAGGTCACGTCGAGCTCCCTACACGCCTTCACTGCTCGATCGGCCGAACGAACATCGTAGAAGACGACCTCCGGCAGTTGAGTCTCGGCCTTCCGTCTCTACACTCTTGACCCCATGCCTGGACAAAGTTGTCGAACTTCTCCAGGCGCTGAACACGGGAAACCTCATGCCAGAGCCGCACCGGGGGTCGTGACCAAAATACACCGCTCCGCCCTCCGGCCATGCCTCACCGAAGTTTTCAAAAGCCACCTTTGCAGCATCCAGGGCCATCCCGGCGGGCAGTGGCTGGCGACAGCGGTACCATCACATGTGCAAAGCTGTTGCACGCACCAAGAGAAGCCAGCAAGAGAAGACCGCAAGTGAAGCTGCAGCTCTGCAGTGTATCAACGTGCTCTGGAGCCGGAAGCCCAGGCAGGAGCACTTACAACCGACCAAAAACAGGCGCAGGCAGGCCGCAATGACGCTGTTCGTGAGGGTCATCTCAACGTCGGCGACCTGAAGCAACAAACCGAAAAGAGCTCTGGGCACCGAGTCGGGACCGGGAATACGCGGCACGGCCTGGCCTGGAAGATGGTCACAAATTCTCTGTGCTTTGCCTGCTTAAAGCTCGTAGGGTTCTCACACGAGACCAAAGGACAAGGTATGACAAGGTCCATGCCCAGGTCCGTTGCGGTCAAGTCACTGAATCGATCTGCGCAGTGGTGCGGACCACTGCGAAGGTAGCAGGCGGCACTGAACCACTAGCTTTGTGGCCAAAATGGCTGCGAGTGCATTATTTTTCGCTTCTGGCCCGAAACGCACACGGCATGCAACTCCAAGAAGGTCGAGCGACATTGGAAAGGCATGGAAAAGCTGTTGGCCGCTGTTGCATCTCAAGCACAAGGTCGCAAGCGTTCGCAATCTATCCCTAACCCCTGGGCCCCTCGGCACAGGGAACTTCAGGATACCACGCACATGTTGGTACATCTATCGCTACACCTGTCACCGGCTGGTGCCGCCTGACGCACGCTTCCGCTTTGCTCGAAGGACACGACATGGCTGGCCTCGCTCTCGCAGAAGCTGCGGCGGATGACAGCGCCCTGGGCCAAGCGGCTCTCCCGCTTCTGGAAGGACTGCGAGGCACGCTTTGCGACCCTGTCGGGCGATGCCTCTTCATCGGACTCCTCACCATCCTTCCACTCTTTCTGCTGGTCAACCACAGTAACCTCCTGGTCACCAAGGATCTTGTCGCTCTGGAGATTCACCGCGGCGACGGTTAGCCGCTTTTCCCGGGCTTCAAAGGATCTGCTTGCATGCTTCTCGATAGGTTTGTCATCGTCTGAGTCATCTGCGCCGGCCCACTCCTTCGGCTCACTCACCACTGGATGCTCTGTGGATGCTCTGCGTTCTTCGCTGGGGGTCTTCCCCACAGACGCCATGGCCCACACAGCGAGCCAGCTGGGATCCTCCTGCACCCACTGCCGAATCCTGAATCCCAGTAAACTTTCGAGCCGAGGTGACTGTCGGGTTTCGGTTAGTCTTCGAACGAACGACATGACGTCAAAGTAAAAGATGGGGAAAATGCTCCATCGGCGGCAAGCCCCTGCCTCATTCATGCTTTCGGCTGCCGAAGCTAGCTAGCTTGGGTTTCTCCACCCGACTGCAATGCTGCTCTTCAGCACTGCATCTAGCCAGTGAAACCCTACGTCGTGTGCAGGTCATCCATCTTTGCGGTTGGCTTGCAAAGCATTTTTTGCCGGTGTCCCAACACAAGACATCCGTGCGAACTTCAACGCAGGTGTGGCCGAATGGTTCATAAGGCCATGCGCTGGGGCTTAAATCCAAAGTACCGGTCCTTTAGCTGCCAATCTCAGCCAACTGGGACGCCATTGGCGCTGACCATGCTACTGAGCGTCCCCTGACAGCGGTTGAACTGAAGCTAAACGCGCAAAGGTTATTCACCGAGACTCGGACAGTTGCACCGTACTGGACTCGCTCAGGGTTGTGCACCTGCGCAACGAAAGGCAGCCGAATGCTCTGCTTTGGACTGTCCCGTCGGCCCTTTTCATACAGCCAGGCACCTGCGAATGGGTAATGGTTGGTTGGTAAGCTCTTTTTCGGGAATCAAAGTCCTGGTACAAGGAAAGAAGCTGACGAAGAATTATCGCGGAAGTGAGATTGCAAATGCTGCACCGTCCTGGCATGAAACCAAGCGTCCGTTCTCCCATTTCCTCGTGCTAATGCGTCCATCCTCACGCTGATGCGCAAGAGCAGTGTATGCGACACGAGGGTGAAGCAGACTGCCGCGTGTCACAGGGAGCCATGGCCGAGCACCCGCTCCTTGTAGTAGAAAGTCCCGCTCAACTTCACACCCTTGTCCCACAATCCCATGAACTCATCGCCGTTTGCATAGACATACTTGCCTCTGTCCTGCCGGGCGAGTCTGTGGCTCACGACGTTGCCATGTCATTCTCAGACCAGCCTGAAATTTACCATCTGCCCAGTCGCCCTCGTACGAGTCTCCTGTTGCAATAAGCTGGGAACGAGCCAACTAGCAAACTGGCTAAGCCGGCTAAGACGTAAACTCTAAGTCCGAGCGCATCAGTGGAAAAGCCTTTTGCAGACAGAGGCTCCATTTGCCAGCTTGATGATGCCAAAGCCGTGCTTCTTGCCGCGCTGACAAGGAGTACGCAGTCAAAGCAGTGTTCGGCGACTTCTTGCCGCAAGCAAAACGTTAAGAGTCTAGATTATTTTTAATTATCTGCAACGAGAGGTTCGATGCCGGGTTATTGGTACTCTGATACTGTTGGGTACTGTACATACTGTACACTCTAGCTGGATGCCAGAAACCGAGCATCGTCCCAGCCTTCCAGTCTCCGACATAGCTTTCACAAGAGGGCTCGGCTGCCTTGCGACGAAGTCCCTTCTCATAATGTCGAGGGGTCCAGGTGTTTGGGTGAGTGCTTCTACCGGGGCCCCGGATCTGCCGAGGCCCTAACCTTCCATTCACCATGGCCGTGAGGTTGGCCGTCCTGATGCTCACATTTCTCAGAGGCCACCATTCCGTCTTTCTGGCGTCACGCTCCTTCCACTCACCTGTGTAGGAAGACCCATCAGGATTGATCCTCACCTGGCGAAGAGCTGGCAGAAGCGAGAGACAAAACAAAATGGTGTCGGAATTGCGCCAGGGACACCCCGAGACCCTTGGGGACGGGCCCCTCGTGATGAGGGTCTCCCTGAAAGCATCCCCGGTACCTCAGTGGCCACTCCACAGAACGGCACTCTGCCACTAGAGGTCTCCCGAGTCTGGCACTGGGTGACGCCGCCGTTAGAAGCAGTGGAAGTGAAGCTACCTCAGGCACGAACAAACCTCCTTCCTGTGACAGGAAAGCTCAACTCTCTATGCGCTGCTCTGCTGCGGCGAGCAAGCAACTTGAGCATTGCACCACTCATCATGCTTTTCCTCAGGCCAACCACCGCCAAACAAGCCTGAAAAATTCAAAAGCTGTCTTGCACTTCATCATGAGCTGGGCACGAGAGATGTTGATGGTGAAGAACAGTGAAACTTCCGGAGCCATCCGGAAAGTCCCGGTGGATGACCTGGGCATGTGCTCCGACACGACATGCTTTGCAACTTCGCTGGCCAAGAGAGGAACCTTGAGGTCATCGACCTGTCCGTCTGTGGCGATTCGGCAGATCAATTCACTTTCACAGCCACTGGATCCACTGGTGCCTCTTCGAGGCCTTTCAACGGTGTGTCCAAGGACTGGGACCTCAGCCAAGGGGAAATTGAAATGCCTTGCTCCCGACTCGACGGAACTCGAGCCGCAGGCATGGAGCCAGCAGCCTCCGCTTCGGCCTCCAAGCACCATCAAGAAAACCCGCTGAAAGCCGGCGGCGCTGTGCTGAACGGACCCCTCGAACCTTGGGCGGCTCAGCTGGAGCTTCCTCTGTGGAAGGCTCCACGACGCCATCATCTTCGGGAAGCCTCGATTCCGAAACATGTGCACAGAAACCACACACACACAAGAACTTGCCGCCAGGGTGCTGCGATCGCCCTTCCTCTGCCATTGTGGCCCAACTTGGAAAACAGTGAGGCGCACTCGCGACAGGAGCCAAATGGCAGCGAACAAAGTGGCAGCTGTGCTTGATGAGCATGCGTGGATCTTGCTCCGTGAACCGAAACCCAAGCTCGAACCGAACCGGCATCTTCATTTCTTTACGTGATGGTCCGCCCCACTCATGCCTGCTCAATTGTTGTCCCGCCCTGCCCCCCCCCCAAGTCACACTAATGCAAACAACGCAGTGGCGGAAAGTCGTTTCTGCGAACACTGCGAATCAACCATGCTTCAGGAATTGCTGCCCGGCTGGACAGGCTGACGCACTTTTGCCGCAATTGCATGACATGAACCCTGTCTCCTGTGCGGTGCATGTAACAGGAGCAAGTCTCAAGCTCTACAAAGGCAGGGCTACTGCCAGAAACTTGCCCCTGCAACACCATCGCATACACTTCGTCACGAGGTGCAAAAATTCAGGAAATGCCATGCTCTACTTTCGCAAGAGGCTTTGACGTCTGAAAAGGCGCCATACGGCGCACACATGACCTCTTCTCCCTTCCGGGCTCATCGGAAGCTTGATGCCTGATTTGACAATATGACTGGTAGTTAAGATGAACAGATCAAACTGAAGACTGATTGAAGTCTGAAAATGCCTGAGGTTACGCTTGTCCTCCAACCTCTCCAGTGAAGGCCAGTGTGGGGGGCCTTGAGTGTTAATTCAAGGATGCCGATCACGTGGCAGCTTCCCAGAGACCTGGCTCGAGGCCTTCTGGCCATGGGGCTGCTACGCGCAGCACGAGATAGCACGAGCAGTCAAGGCATCAGCCCTGAACTGTGGGACGGAGCTAGCTGCGATTTCGGACGCCTTAAGCGATCGCATCAAAAATTTGGCCAAGCCCATTAAGGCTATGGAGAACACAGACTGCGAAACAGGTAGTTCGCAAGCCTGGACCTCAAACATGGAGCCACTGGAGCTGAGGGCGATCTGGGCACCTTTTCTGACTGTAACGTTGCTCAGTTGCTGTCTGCCCGTCATAACTTGGTCAAAACTTGGTTCACCCTGGAAGGCCCAGCACTCCGTGGAAAGCATATACGCTGTGCATTGCTCAGCAATGCTTATTCTTAATCTGATATGCTATCAACGAGAGGTCACCTGACTGAGCACATGTCGAGATCTGAAAGTTGCAGCAGACACAGCACACACACACACACAAATTTTCTGGTACATATTTCGGTCAGCCACACCTGCACATACGTTGCCAGCAATTACAGTATCTGAGGTCGTCGCTCTATGCATCACTCCTTCAACCAGCCATGGTTGAGTGCCTTGGTTGACGCAAAGAAAAAACATGGCTTCAGAGGCCGGAACTTGCAATGGGTGTCTCAAGCCTTTGCTCAACAACGGGGTGACATGCATTGCCTGCCTCCTCACAGTCTTTCATGCGATCATCCAGCTCGAAAGCCAACAACTTCTGGCCTTCGCGACAACATCTTCAACTTTGGAACCACTGCGCGCAGGGCTTAGGGTCATGCAAAGATCTCGCGCCAATGGAAAGTCTGGCCATGGCTCCTGCTCCCACCTTGACACGCCCGGGACCGAAAAAAAACTCAAAACGGTGCAAACAGAAACTGGAAACCGACCGCACGCAAAGCAAATCGGTCCGCGACTCAAGGATTTCTGCCTGAAGCACGGTTCGTTGAGACAAAAACTTTAACAAGCTGCAGGTTCATTCAACGAAGAACACTCTTAGAAGTGGAAAGCAGCCTGCCTTGAGAGCCCGGTACATCTGTGTGGCGCTTGCGCTGCCTACCAAGCCGTCCTGACGCCGATCTGCTAATCTGCTAATCCTTGTCTCGGTGGGACTCTCGCAACTCAGACCCTCCGAAGGCACAACACCAGAGACGCCGGGAACTAGTGCGACTCATATGGAACACAAGACGATGAGAGGATCAAAGATCATCGCACGAGCCATCGAGTTCCACTCAGTGATTCCTCCGTTACATGTAGACGTGCATGGCAAGACCTCGCATATCAGCGCCGTAACAGGCCGTCACTGCACGATCATGAACCTCGGACAGCTACGGCTCCTCCAGACTGACCAGAGAACTCCAGGGCATTTCACCGGTCATCAAGATGTAGAGGATCACCCCCACCTCCGGATCTCACACAGAAGCTGCGGAAGCTGAAGCCCGGCTTCTGGGACATCGGCGGACCAAAGATCTGATTGCGGCGACTGCTGTCCCATCAACGCTTCCGGAGCCTAGCTCCAACAAACCGAGAACCGAATGCAAGGAGCTTTGCTGCGAAAGCAAGCCAAAGCTATCTGCTCTAAGGCCGACACAATGTACCCCGGCCTGGTGTGCGCGTGACCAAGCACCCCGATATGGCAGCTTCACAGTAACGGCTTCAGTACCGGACGTGCCGACAAACCGTCGGCTCTTTGGTGTCTGCGGCGTCCACTCTTGACCTTGGAGCTCTCGCAAGGCGCAGCTGCAGTCCCGGCTGAGTGTCACAAGCAAACCTTTGGCAGAAAGAAGATGAACAAGGTTCCAGGATGTTCCAGGGAGCCGACACGTGTCGAAGTCGATGAGCTTAACCGTCTTGGGAGATGACTCGATCATCAAGTCCAGATCGAACATGATGTTTTCTGGCCTTATACACGCTGGGGCATGTCTGCTTCTTACGTTCGCAGCCCTCAGTCGGGTCAAGGCTTGATATCGCGGTGGATGATGTTGTTCTTGTGCAGGTGTCCTTTACACACCGAAAGAACTCCGACACCTCTGCGATGCGACACCAACACTTCATCCCTCACGCGTCCTACCGCGGTCAGGATTTCCCTGATGATCCGCTTGCACCTGTCAGAACCAACGAAATCAGCCAGCAGAACAGAATGCAACGCTGGATGTCCTGTTCGAAAATCAGCAATCAATCCACCAGCTGTTTTCGATTCACACGTGTCAGGTTATGTATTTTTTGCACACGCAGACACCGAAATCTCAGCGATGCTCAAGTCCGCGTGGTGACTTTCGAAAGCTGAGCACGGCGCTCGGCTTCGGGGACCTGACGGGCAACAAAGCCACAGCAATCAAGCCAAGACAGCAATGATTCTGATTTCAAGTGTCCGCAGCTCCGCAAACAGCAGCAGGCAGCAGGAGCACCACTCCTACGACTCCTACCACCACCACCAACACGACGACGACGACGACCACTACTACTACTAGTACCACTGCTACCACCACTACCACTACCAGTACCACGACCACGACCACGACCACGACGACGACGACTACCTCTACTACTACTACTACTACTACTACTACTACTACTACTGCTACTACTACTACTACTACTACTACCACGACTACTGCTACTGCTACTGCTCCTGCTCCTGCTACTGCTACTGCTACTGCTACTGCTACTGCTACTGCTACTGCTACTGCTACTGCTACGGTGAACCAGTATGTTAAGAAATATAATCAAACAAGAAATGAGACTCTGGCACACGCCAAA